ATCGGTTTCCATTCCCGGGTAACGGGAATTCTCCCCGATTGCGGCATTCTCGCTTGCGGCATGAGGCAAATGTCACTGCAGTTACCGTACTTACCGTACTCTTCTTTTCTGTTTCTTTTTCGTTTCTATGTTTATTAGACTTGATAGTTTGGAATGACTACTCCTATACTAGCAACGATCAAGACCGCATTGGAATTGAAGAAAGCGGTCAGCCAATTCAAATAATTAAAGGACTCTCAATCTCACAAATCGCGCTCCAATCTTCCATCGCAGTCCTGCGATACGCGACGGGTGCGGCATGCGCGACGCCGCTTTCGGGGAGAAGATTCCGGACCCTCCATTCCCTTGTGAAGTCTCATTGATCTGGCCACATGAAGTGAAATTAACTTTCTCTCCCATTTCAGAAACAAGAAACTGAATGTTGTGTTTTCAAGAAAACTAACTTTTTATGCATAGACTAACATAGACCCATATTTGGTTCCCCTCCACCTCTGAACCTCCTTTGGAGCTTACAAAAAGAAACCACCAGTGAATGATCAAGTTTTCTGCAAAAAAGTTTTTGAAAAAAGTAAAAAACGAGAATGTCGAATCACAATAATTAAATTATTCGTGCACTGAGTACTGAGGAACCTTAGTCCGCATTGTTTGTACTAATCAAACTAATCTATAGAAATAGTTTCGTTTTCAGTTTACTAACCCTGCTTCTGCACTAACCGATGGCATCTTCACGCCTTTACCTCCACCTCCATCGCTAACCACAACAACCTACCATGACAGTTACGAAAACGTTCAGATGGATCTTTCTCTTCCTGGCTGTTCCACATCGTCACCTATGGAATCCACCCAAAGAGCAGCTCTTCTAGAAGTTCTACACCCTACAAATCCATTTCTTCAAGACATTGTAGGCCAAGAAACAATTCAGCCGATGCCTCTACAACAATCATACCAGTAGGTTTGGTAACTTTTGAAAGATTAGGCGCATGTGTGGCTCCGGTTCTGCTGTGTTTCGTGTAAGCTAGACTGTTACTGATTAATAGTAATTGGACAAGAAGAGCCTTCTCATGAAATTACTGAGTGTAAAGAGAGAAGTTTTCTTCAAACCCTCATATCTATATCACGGATAAGTGATGCCTGAACCTCACCGGATTGCAAATAGTTCCCTATTTGCCTATGGGCGACTGGAGGCAGGTGGGCAGCGAGACAACTAGCTAAGAATCGCAGCTCACAATGAGGGGATTGCANNACCGTGAATGTGCTCCGGTAATTATGAAGAATTAGGGAAAGAAATGTGCAACTTCTTTTTCTTGTTAGAATGAAAAACATCAGGGTGGTGTAAGGGGAACACAAGTAATCGGCCATCCTCACCTTCACGAGGTATTGGACCCACACCCTTGAAGAAATCACACCTTTTACCAGAATGTCCGAATACGTGCGGCCAGGTCAACTAGCAAACCTCGCGCTGCACTTTCTGCGCGGCAATTTTGATGGATACTCCTAGACTGTAAGAAGGCCCATACTGTAAGAAGGCCCATCAGCGGATACCTGACACGGCTATTTTGATTTCTAATTCTTTGTGGCGGTCATGAAAAGGGTCCAATTCTTTTTTAAGGCTAACTAAGCCAATCTGCGGATTGTATACATTACAATAGCTCCTTTACCATTAGTTGTTTGTCGTGTTTATAGTGCAAGATAACGAATTCGAAGCTTTTTAGTTGCTGGTACGAATATTCAGTTTTAGTGCAGTTTATTTTAGTTGTTTTTTTTTCAGTAATGTTTAGAAAACAGTGTAGGTATACTGTACACAAGAAAAGCTGTAAACTTGTTACATTTCCTCCTTTTCAGCTCTGAATTCGGCCTTCCTCCGCCTTCTGATTTGGCCCTGGGCAAACGAAACTGAACGGTTCCAATCACTCTCGTCTATTCCACAATGTCACGGCGGCTGCCTTTGTTCAAAATCATCAAGAATCAAAAGAGAATGAATATTAATGAATAAATGTTTTTTCATCTGAGTTCACCTTGAGCCATATATGGGGAGCTTGGTCGGTAAAGTACCGTAGTTCTTCAGATGGGAACGACTGCTGGTCAGTCTAAAAGCGATTTTGTCCGCACTCCGAGCAAAAAACGTAATAGTGGTGGTATAATGACAAGAAGTATCAGTGAGATTACCTTAGCGATTTGTATGGGACCTTTCTTTGTTGTTTCTGCGAATGAATAAGATAGTCATATATGGAAAGAGCAACCCACAGTTCCTTACCAACTACACTCTCTCATCGCAGCTGTCACAACCATTTAAATGATCATCACAGTGGTCCTGGGTCCGATGTCGTTTTCGGCTAACCGATGGCGGTTTTCGATCCAGCCTCAGCCTCAAGCGAGTAGGGTCCACCTACCCGGAGTCCCGTCGGAAGCCTGATAAGACAAGCGTTGTTTCCGTTCGTACTTATATTCAAACTCAGTTGAGAGAGAACACACAAAAGTAAAACGCTCTAAAGCTGGGAGAAGTACAATATGTAAGGACAAATGAATAACGACTGACCTTGATCCCTAGTAGCAAACCAGTCCTTGAGGTGTTACGGTGTCTGTGGTCCTGTAAGTGAAGAAAGATGTGAACCATGCCGCTCTGTTGAACAGAGCATTAAAAGACTCGTTGAGCCTTGGCTTTGTGTAGTGAACAAGGCATCTTTATTGTCCGTAATTCTGCATGACATGGCACAACTGCGACGTGATGACCCAAAAGGGAATTTGGGGTGTGGAGCAGTAGGAACGAAATGGTCGCGCGCGGCGAAAGCCACGTCGCGCGCGATGGAATATAGCACATTGGGGCAGCGGGTAGGTAAGGAATATAGGAACAAAAGAACTAACGGTAGAATCATGCTATAAGTAATAATCGCTTAGCGTTTGAGCTGTATGAAGAACGCTAGAACTGTTATAATGAGGCAAATGGTGCGCGACAGCCGCGTGCGGAGGATCGATTACGCA